AGTTTTTGTGCCAAAAGTAAAATAAATCAGTGATATAATAAATGTTATATTTATAAATCTGCTTATTACATTATAGTTCCAACTATTTTTTTAGAATCTTTACTTTATAAGTAATAACTTACAGTTACATAAACATCTTAAAATATATTTTTTGCTTAAGCAACAATTAATTAAAATGTGTAAATATGGTAAGTCAAGACTAGTGACGGGGTATGTTGTTACAGGTTTATTTTTATTTTCAACCGAAACAAATTTAAAATAATGTTAGATTTCTGTAGTCTTTCCTTAGTGAGCTGTGATTTATGTAAGAAAAAGACTGATAAACATTTATATTTATATTATTAATGTTACATTAATGTGTATATTTTATTTTAAAATTATAAATAAAGTTATGTTATGCACAATTTTTTTATTTCCTTCAATTAAATGCGTTATATTTTGAAATCTGGATGTGTAACAACTGATTCCAGTAATTATAACAATTGATCCTGCCGGGCCAGTTGTTACAAATTGCATCACTTTACATTTTCCAATTAATACAACAAAATTTTAATTATATTATTAAATTATAAAAATAATTTCTATGTTGTTGAAGGTGTGGCTACTGAAAAATATCTTTGCAGTATTTATTTCATTTATTAATTACATGTGAAAAAATCATTTAAAAAACTGTATCAGCCCCGGTCTCCCCTACATATGTTTCGTTTAATAATAAAGTATATTTAATCGTTGATAATCATTAATTACAGAAAAAAGTAAAAAATATGCATATATAAGTATAATATGTACATACAAATACAGTTTTATTAAAGATATACTATTCTAAATTACAATCTTTAACACACAATTTTCATTATCAAAGTTGAAAATGTATTTAATTATTGTAAAAGTGATAATGTATAAACCAGCACAATTTGTAAATTTATGTTTTAAAAGTTAATTAAACTAACATGCGACATATACAGTAAAACTACTATTGCTTGCTACTTTACATAGAATTTACATAAAATTATTATATAAACATTATTTGTATTTATATGTGTTAGAATATCTATATGTTCTATATATTTATTTACTATATACGTGTATATAATAACACTTTTCCAGCTCCGAATCAATCACATAATTTTTTCCTCTTTGCATATATGATGATACAATTTTATTTTGATAGGCGCGCGCACGTATGCCATTTCTTACATATCAATATCTAATTGTAACAAGAGCATTATTAACAGCAATACATGTCATTTTGTACTTTAAAGGTGAAAGTGCACTCTCTTTAAAGGTTATTCTCTCTTTAAAGGTTTCTATTTCAAAATCTCTCCCCCCCCCCTCTCTCTCTCTCTTTCTCTCGAATGGCTTTCATTCAAAATATCGATCGATTTCTTTACACAGAATTTCACATTAATAAAGCACAATTGCTAAATTAATATAATGATGTTTATTTTTATTTTGCAACTTGCATATTTAATTTTTAACTTTATACAATATTACTCGACAAAATATATAATACTTTTAAAAATATATATCTTATAATACAAAAAAGAAAGAGAAAAAAGAGATATAGAAAGAGAGATTGCCGAACTTTGTTTTAAATCCATATAATAATAAACCTGTTTCTTTTCTTTTTGAAAATATTTATACTTTTAATTTAAAATTATTTCTATTAATTTAAATCATTAATTTAAAACAAGATTATTAATTTAATATATAATATAGTACTTGCCGTGAATAAAATGTTTCACACATCCCGAATTCGCGAAATAATGACGCAACATACTTTTAAAAGCTTTGCTTTAAAGCTTCGCTTTAACAAGCATCTTTCGTTAGATGTGTGCATTGGTGAGAAGCGCGTACTCGAAGTATCGATTGACTTTAACGCATGAATGAAGCCCCCAAGAGCATGTATAGTACAATAAATAATTTTAAGGTTTCACTGCACAAATCGCATGATTGGCAATTAATTCTTTATATTCCGAAATAATATTAAGATAAAATAATAAGTACATAACCAAGTAATTATTGTTACAAAAATGTACATAATTTTTATAGGAAGGTAATCAGACCCAACATGAATCTATATGCAAAATTGCCAACTTGCTGTTTGTAAATATAATAAATAAAAATAATTACACGGCAAATTTAATAGACAGCAATAGTAGAGCGTGCAAGTGGTGCGACTCGATTGCGTCATTTAATTACCAAAATATGATTATTAATTTCAGCAGTTTGTGTTATTGTAATTCTGTATTCATATTTTACAACACTGTATTTAGTTTATTTTTGTCACAACGTTTTATTTATAATCAAAGAAAAATTACTCTTTGTACGATATTGGTGTGGACTGTGGACCAATATGACCACTGAGTCCACACTTCCCGACTAACAATAACATTACCCTCAAATTTGATGATTTTAATTATAATAATATTCCATTCGAAACTTACTAGAAAGAGATTAAAAAATAAAATGTTTGATTATATTTTTTTTTTTTCAAAGAAATCTGAGAAAAATAAATATTTTTAAAACTTAAAAAAGTTCAGATAAGGCTTTTACGAATAAACAATTCGAATATCAGGAAGAAGCGTTAAAGAGCCAAACACAGGGTGAAATTTGCTTAAAACAATTATAATTTTGACATCAACAAATTAAGAATAGATCGACAAAATACAATACAAAAAACAATATCAAAAACCTCGACGTTTCGACCCTAATATGTGGTCATCTTCAGAGAGGTAGGCGGTAACGCATTATATAAAAAACATAACTTACATCATATTCCTATCTTATTATAAATAATATTCGCAACGGACACCATCAAGATGGTATAGACATGGAGGATCCTGGTTTAGTCCTTTCATTTTTATGATGTCTTCTCACAAATATGTGTGGTAACCCATGATTTTAACGCATGTATTTGAACAGAAAATTTTGACATGGTAGTCTCTAGGGAACAAGAGATCATAGGAAAAAATTAGATTAAATTATTATCCGTCAATCTTCAGAATAAAACAACACCGAATAAATAGTTAAAATTCCCAGAATAAAACTTGTAAAAAGAGCTTAAAAACGAAGAACAAATATGATAAATCAAGTCAACAAGTTAATATACCAAACGGTAAGTCGGAAAAAAAATTTTTTATATAAAATAAAATGCTAAAAATTTTGTTTAAGTCATACATATAAAACCATTGAATTAAGATAAAGAATTTTGTATGTTCTTACATATCAATACTGACGGAAACCATTCCTCTGTCTCGATCTATTGAGTTTGACGGAATTTATTCCTTCCACCATTATTCCAAGATTACAATTCACAATAGAGGCAGAAGACAACAATTGTATTAGTTTTTTAAATGTCAAACTGATTAGAGAGAGTGGCAATATCATTTTTGACATATTCCAAAAACCGACATCCTCGGGAAGGTATTTAAATTTCAACTCAAATCATCCTACTACGCCGTACGCGCGCACCGGGCAAGTACGTCCGTACACGCCACGAGCGTGTGACCGCGTCGGCAGACCGATCGCTCGCGTCGCGCACCACCCCGCGCCCCGCGCGCGCAGCCCGGGTCTCGGACAAACACGCCGTGGAAATACGACCGGAATTAGCGACACTTATTGTAATTGCGGACTTTTCTTTTTATTATTGAAACTAGTTCTTCGCGGTATTTTAAGTTATTATCGCTCCCCTATCGGGCTCTGTAACCCGCATAGGGGAATGCCCCGCGATTCACGTTGGTTTTTATGTATTGCGCCGGATCATTATTTTATGTATTATTATTTTCGGGTTTTTATATATATTGCGACGGATCATTATTCTATGTACTATTATTTTATTTTCGGAATTGTATTTGATCTTTTTTTTAAATTATATCTAATTCGTTCGATTTCGTTACCATTCCGCTACTCTCTCTCCTGAACCTGCTGGCGATCCCTGCCACCCGTTTTGATGCCGACGAGCTATACCGCGCATCAACAGCAGGTCGTTTTACCACTAATTTTTTATTTTGGACTTAGCAAAAAATTAGAAAAATTTGCAAAGCTTAATGGGACATATGGGCAGTCCGATTACTTTATCATTCAAATAATACATAAATTACTTATTTAAATTCATTTAAAATTTAATTTGTTATCCATATTATGTAATGACAAAAGAGAGAGAGAGAGAAAGAGAAAATTAATATTTATCTAAAAATATAATAATTTCTTCAGCTTATATGTAAATAATGTAAACATTTAAAAATATTTATTAAAAACATTATAAAAATTTTAAACGTTTATTTCTGAATCATTTTTATTAGTCAATATAATAATTATAGAAAAAATAATTTAAAAAATAAGAAATCGTGTAGATGTTATATAGAAACTAATTTTATTAATTTTAGATTTTATATTATGTACGGCGCGCAATATTAACAATATTTTTTGCAATAAGCCATTTTACATAATTTAAAAAAATGCTCATACACGCACACACACACACACACACACACGCGTGCGCGCGCGCGCACTCACATGCACGCACACTCCCCACTTCAGCATATATATATATAAATTCTTTTATTTAAAATATTTGTAAATTTATCATTTGCATGAATGTATTTTTTGAAACTTCGAAGCTTCGAATATTCGAAATAGGTGAAAAGTAACAGCCCTAGTACATACTATGTATTATGAACTTACTTGTACATATATACAATTATATCGTTCAAATAATAAAATTTTGCTTCCTATTGTTAGATATGAAATTATGAGTTAATAATTTTTCAAAAATGTCCATTTTCGATATTTTAAATAATAAAACTTTTTTCGGCTATTCTTATTGTACTATTGTGATCGTTTGTTAGTTCAAAGGGTCGACTCAAAAATCCTACGGTTCTTTTGCTTCAAATTTAAATAAAAAAATTACAGAATTTTTTATTCAAAGTAGTCATTTTTTGCAAATTTTTAAAAACAAATCAAATATTGAAGTAATGCCTATCGAACCGACACGGGTATTGATGTGTAATAATTTTTATTGTTAAAATATTACAAGCCACACTGCCGTACGCGAGCGCATTAATAATAATATAACATTAATAGCATGAACATAGTGGGTGTGAATGTCTTAGAGAACTTTTCTTATATAAGACGGACCTCAATCAAAACGGAATTTTTGGAATAAGAATTGAAACATCAGCAATTCATTTAATACACATGATTAAAATGTGATTAAATATCTAAATGCATAAATTTTAAAATAGCAAATAAGCTATAAGGTAAGCATTTTGGTGCGCAACGGTACGTCGCGGTATTTGAAAATCTTTGATCTAATCTCTAATCAATTGCTTTATCAATCGGAACAATAAATGTGCTACAGGCGCGAAATCTGTTTTGATTATTACTAATTAATTTTAGGTACCATCCTGTTTATTATTATATTGAGAAAAACTGATCGCAAATTTCTAAATTAGGAAAAAATGTGAAATGCAAACAATAGGCAAACTTATTTTACAAGTTAATAAGAGAAATATGCAAAAATACGTTCTAGCAAATAGAGATCGATATACATATGATGTCTTATAAAACAAATTTATATCTAATTTTCAAGAAATTATAAATAAAAAAATATGCTCTTATATGCATAAAAATGATATATATTTATATTTATTTCGTGAGTTACAGTAAATATCTTGAACGACTGTAAGATCGTTGTAACGATTTTCTAATGAAGACGAACAAAAAAGTTAATGTAACATATAGATAAGATACAAAGGGGAGCCTCTTTAGTATTCCGAATTAGTGATATTCCGGTATTTTCCCATACCCAGGAAAATTGGGCTTAGTTTATATTGCAGTTGATAATCGTTTACGAGTCGCGTCCATTGTTTTGCGTAAACGTAATCTTGATTACGTGGAATACAACGCCTACCAACAATTGTACTTTGGCATTCAAATCCACGGCAACATTCAAATTCTCTTGAGCACTGAAAAAGATTGCGCGAGATTATGATCTTGCACACAGATGTAAAACATTTTCTTCTATTCTAATAAGATTATATGAATTACACATAGAAAACAGAACATTAAACACACAGAACAACAGAACATTAAATTATTTTTTTTAATTCTAACATCGTTTTCTTCGTCTTTAAAACACGAAAAATGATTATCTTTCATAAAATATAAATACTTACAATGACATTGGTAGTATAAATACATCCTTCAGAAACAATCACAGCCATAGCAATAATAACAAAAATAGTGGAAATAACGAACTTCATTTTATCAATATTTTCTGTAATTATTATATAAGTTTTTATAATATACCTACAAAATATTTTCGATACCCACATGCAATATAATATAATATTATAATACTTTTATAAAAATTGCCATTTTAATTTCAATTATTAATTAAATTTATTTCTCAAATGACAAAATTAATGAAACAAAAGATATTTTATTATTAATGTAATATTAATAGATAGTTTTATATAAATAGTTTATTATCTATTAATTTAGATTCTCAGTCGTTATTTAAAAAAATTAGATAAATGTTAAAACTTACCGTTTCTTGGGAAGCAAGTCGATTATGCAAGTCGTACGATGTAAACGCAACTGATCTATTCTAGATCTTCGAAGAGTATTTATACCAACTTTATATCGCACTTGTTGCGTAGAACAAAAGTAAAAGTCGTGCACGACGGTAACAAAAGAATCTGGTTGGACGAATCATCTGCATCAAACACGTAAATAGAAAGGTATGCGTTCGTTATCGGAAATCTGGCGCAGCTTCTCAACAAATAAGCGTATATGGCAGACAGTACGCAGCAGTAAAACTCTCAAACTTGTTAAAACAGGTATGCTAAAGGCCTTCGCACATAAAATCCCGTAAGGCCGTAAGACGTAAGCGTAAAAAAATCGACCAATCCCAATTGAGTATTAGGTTGTCCGTAACCCCCTCCACTCAATTGGGATTGGTCGATTTTCTTATGCTTACGTCTTACGGCTTTACGGGATTTTATGTGTGAAAGCCTTAACGAGACACCGTCGCCGCCACCGAGACGCCGTCGTCGTCACCCCGTGACAATCCCATTAGATAGATACAGCCATACCAATAGAGGAGTTTAAGCAGGCCTACTTAAAGTTTACGTTTAAGCATTGCAGTTCTAACGAAGCAAAATATAAGTCTGAAAAGCCATTTTCTTTAAGTTAACTTATTTTGTTCTAATCTTCATAAAAAAACCCGTAAAGTGAAAGAATCGACAATCAAAATTACATTGTCTTTGAAAAATATGTGTTTGGCCTGTTTTATTTTGTTTGATTATTCTTGTAAAGGATCGCTATTACTTTGGGCAATTCTTGTTTCTGATAAAAAATTGCAACTGTCATGCTATCCGGTTCCATCATGCTATTGGTCAACGTGATTAGATTACAGTGTACTCTACGCCTTGATGATATGTATCTTTTTTATTAGCACGTAACCACCCACTCTTTCTGCGTCTTTCCTTTCCGATTTTTAATTCGCTGTCAGTCGAGAGATTCACGGTCGTTTCTGGAATGTTATCCGCGGGGGTTTCTCGTGATTGCTATATTATTTTTTTCATTTCTTCGCGATATCAATAAGATATCTGGTCCAAAGATCTGTTACTATCAGACGGAAGTAGTGCGCGTGCTTCTGCTTGTATATGTATAAACGTCCTCTTCTATATACTGCATTATTCCCCTCCCTCTCCCACTCTCTCTCGTATGTACATTCCCACGTCTTTCTCGCGAGAACATTCATCAGTTTACCAAGATGAATTACCATAAAAATTCGAGGAAAATGCATTCAGTGCATTCATCATATTGCAGTTTAAAAGAAAGAGGATTTAAAAGTATAAACAATAATATCTTAGACCATTTTTGGATCTTTATTTTTCAATTCTCAATATCGTAAAATATATTCAAAAACATTTTCACGATACATTGTAAAATCTCTTCTAAAAAACTAATTTGAAAATACTTTTTTGCGAAAAAACTGAATTTCTTTATTATTTTCCTTATTCATTTTCTTCTCCCTCTGTTTTTCTCTAATTATATCTTAAAAGTATTTTTTAAAGTAGATATTTCGTATTATCAAATTATTAGTAAATTATCGAGACGCGTACGTGCCACTTAATAATTTAATGATTCAAATACACGTCAGTTAAAATAGAATTGATAGTACAATGAGAAACCATGAAGAAAAGAAGCGGAGCTGTTCTTAAACTCTAAGTTTAAGCACTGCATATTACTTATTTAGGCGATTTGACGCACATTATAAACGAGCAATTTTGAGAATTATAATAAACGCAAAATTATAGTCGTTTATAAATTCTGTCATGACATGATGTCGCAAGAACGGTTAAAAATAATTTAATTCGAGCGTTCCAAGAGTTCTAAGTTCTAATCTTCAATTGTACATACTTACCTTATTGTTGTTTAAATAATTTGATAAAGTATAATGATTATTTCATTTTCGTGTCTTAAATAATTTCATTAAAAATTAAATAAAATATTATAGTATATACATAAATTCATTTTAATATGAGTATATTAAATATAGATATTAAGATTATAATAATTATCTATTATATATAATTATTAAATGTATGCAATAATGTAAGTTTCGTTTGATTCAAGCGACGTACATCTATAGTGCATTTATACGTTTTGAAACATTAAATTAAGGAAATAGATATAATCGTATTGTGTTAAAATATTCTTTTTATTTGCGGAATTGTCACTGTGACAGGATATTGTAAAGACTGAACAAGCATTTTTATATTTTGCTGATATGATATCGACGTTTTTATTACTTACTATTCATTAATCTTGTATATTAGTAAATGTAAATTAGTAAGTTAAAATATTAGTAAATGTAAATAATATTAGAAATATACAACAATAATACAGATATTCAGAAATTTTAGTGTAAAAGAATACATGACTTACATGAGTATTTAACTTTTAAAAATATGATGAAGCAATTTGAAACCAAGCGCTATCCTATCTCCTACGAAACAGGAAAATATGCATTTGAATGTAAATGTAACATGTCATCAAGAATAAAATCGGTTCATCAAAAAACGAAAAATTGCAACTTCTATAAAGGTTAAAAACGGTGTCCGGTGTAAAGATTATAATATAGCCTTAGCCCGTGTCGCTCGGACATATTTCACAAACACCTGAGATCTACCACAAAATACATTTTTTCTCGGGATTCATTCTTGAGCCGGCCGGGCAATTAAAATCGCGCGAGAACTCCTCCATGTTCGACAATGGTCCACGGATGCGAAATTCAGCTAGGCTATGGATATCCGACATCTCTTCTATCAATCCTTCCGTCCGGTACTTGGTGCACCAAGTATTGGCCGCACTTATCCAGAACATCTGTTCTGGACTGTACGACAACCCCGGCAATCTTTGCTCCGGCTTATTTTGTTTAATCCATTCTTTGTACGCATAATAAACTTCCTTTATGCCGCCAATGTCTGCGATGTTCTCATTGAGGGTTTTAATCCCGTCCAACTATAACAATATAACATGTATTAATACGATAAAGTTTCAATCTAAAAAAATATTTTTATATTAATATAGTTAGAAAATATTTTAAATGTCTTTTAAGAGACCTAGCCAATAAGTCTGAGTTGCGAAATAACTCATAACATGACTACAGTTTTTTTATATTTTGTCGATATAATTATCTAGATTCTCTTGCACCAAAAATTTAAAAGAAATTTCACATAGCAAGGTAAAAAATTTAATAAATATATAGAAATAAATATATAAGATTTAATTTTACGTTCAATCCGATTTCTTCTATGGTATAATTGCCATATTGATCAATTATACATTCTATCCTCTTGAAATAACGCTTCTTCGTTCGTGGCTCCCACCAATCCACGACATTGCCTTCTTTGTTAAAGTTACTCCCTTCAACATCAAAGCCGTGGGTAATCTCATGGTCAATAATATGTCCAATGCTGCCGTAGTTCATGTAACGTGGTCGTTCATTGTTGAAACATATGCCTTGCAAAATACCCGCTTGTAAATCTACGAGATTGTAACGATGCGCCCCGGGAAACCGCATCGTCCCGGCGACAAACCGCCGATGCCGCGCAACCGAACAGCCGTCGGACGAAGAAACAGCGCGAACGCGCCCGTTATAATGATGTAAACGCCGCAAGACGGTTTAAACGTTACGCGTTTGAACAATCGTGCGGGAGACACAGCGCAGAAGCGCTGCGCTACACGTCTCCCTCACTACCGCGCTAGAACCGGCAACCCGGGGGTATAAAAAGCCGGGCAAAAAGCGCCAAGGGACCTGTCGTCTACGAGCCGTCCGACCGTTCCGGCAACCAGACGAGACCCGCTCCCTAGAGGTAGTCCTGAAGTCAAGGGTCTTGGCTTCGGTCTAGAAGTTCTCGACGGCTACCTCGAAATCCTATCACCACCTTCTCGGCTCTCGCCCTCGGGTAAAGCGTCTTTCCCTGAGCCACGAGTTCGTGGCGGGCGACCCGGCCAAAACCCATCCCGGTCGAGTCGGCAGCACCTCAGGCCCCGTGTTCAGGGCCGAAGCCAAGTGTCTTGGCCGCCGATTCGAGTCCCGACCTGCGCCTCCCGGGGGAAGATCGATCCCGCCGATCAAAGACTCCCGCTAGCCGACGCGAAAGGGATTCCGTGCGTGACGAAAAGGCCTTCCACGAAACGCTCAGCAGCCACCACGTGGTGATTGCCACCGTACCACGAGGGTAACGCATGCCGCCCCGTCATCGCGCCGCGACCACGCACCGACCGCGTTACACGCTGCGACGCGCTGCGCACCGTCCGTGCCACCCGTGGCGCGACTCACCGCGGACCTGTATATACCTGTAAATAGTTACGTTTAGATAATAAATTAACGTTTGTATTAGTCCGAGAAATACACGCCTCATCATTTCCGGAATCCCTCTTTCCCTCGCCTGAACCACTTTCGACTCCTGGACACGCCGGCGAGCTGATCCGCGATTCAAAAAGAAGGTTGCTTCAAGATAAATAAAAAAATGATTCGATACATAGTGACAAATGTTATAAAGAATGAGAAACTGGTATAATTTTATGGATTTTATTATTGAAGTATACGCCACTTATTTAATTCGCAAAAATAATCTAATGAATTTATATTCCAGATTTTATCTGGAGCACAAAGAGATAAAAAAGAATTCAGTCGTATGTTATAAATTTTGAGTTAATTTTCAGATCAAAAAGAATTCTTTTTGTATATAATAAAAATGAATTCAAAATTGATGATATACGATTAAATATACGAATGAATTTCTTTTTTAATTCTCTGTGCTATTTAGGAGAAAAATATGTGTTTTCACTGAATTATTTCTAGTTTATACCAATACTGTTTTCCTTCAACTTGTAAAATGTTGGATTTTGGCTGGGATTGGGTGTACGAAATATATTGTAGCTCGGTATTTTGCTTTTCTCATAGAGACAACTTATAATTCGTTGATACAATTACAAAAAAAACTTAAATTCTTATTCGTTTAACGCTAGATTCATCGAATCGTTCTGTACAACGGTTTCGCGCGGCAGCGGTTTCTCAGACGACTATTCGGCACTGGCGCTCCGGCAGGAATGGGGCATGTGCCCTCGTGGCTGCTCCGGACGTTATAGCGCTACATGCGTTATGTCACTTCCGTTACGTGCCTTTTACGTATTTAAATTTATTGTAATTTTCACATAAAGAGAAAAATACTAAAAGAATGAGAAAAAGAGAAATTCTTATTTTTAAGATTTAAATCCTAGATTAGAAGGATGTCGAAGATAAGACTTTAATTTT